CTCCGCTACGCCGTGGCTCAGCTGCGGGTGCGTCGGCTGGGCTTCATGTACCTGCAGGGTGTCCTTTTTGGTGAAGAGGAGTATGAGCAGGCACAAGACGTGCTGTCGGCGATGGGCTACGAGTTCTGCGGCGTCTTCACCATGAACTCTTCCAGTGGTACTGCCGACCCTACAGAGTTCGACGATGTGTGGAAGCGGTTTGCCGCCACCCGGCCGCAGGCTGTGATTGTGTTTGGCTGGCCAGTAGCGGACACTGAGCAATTCATTAAGAGGATGCTGAAGGACTGGCGCACCGCCGGCGCGTACCTGCTGGCTCCGCTTGTGCTGCAGCCAACTGTTCTGCGCATATGGAGTGCTGCCGTGGCCGATGATGGTGTCAAGTTTGTGCCCGGGCAGGTGATCACGACGGGGACGAACCCGCTGGCGAATGACAGAAGTTATGAAGCCATCCGTCGCTTCCAGACGGTGATGCGGGATTACCTGAATAACAGTGGGCAGAGAGACTACGACGATTCAGAGTATTTCCTCAAGAATGACGGTGACGGAGAGCTGATGGTTTCTGGGTGGATTGCCGGCGAGGTGCTGGTGCAGGCGGTAGGTAATTATAGAGGGGTGAAGAACCGCACGTCGTTCAAGGCGTCTATCTTCAACCAACGCCGGTATGTAATCGACGACCTTGTGTTTGGCGACTACGGTGGGGATTGCAATGATGAGGCTGAAGCACAGGGGGCCGTCTGCCGCTGCAACCAGGGCGGTGGCACTGTGTACATGAAGCGGTTCGTGGAGGGACTACCGAGCGGAGGTGGTGCGTAAGGGCCTCACGACGTTCAGCTTGGCAGGTTGCCACGGTTCACAGGTTCAAGTACCGTTGGTGTTTATTGGGGTGGAGTTTCTAATGAATGACGGCGCTGTTGCAAAAGCTGCCTCTGCAGAGTTCCACAGCGGGTTTGCGGGGAAAGGTGCAAGCCAGAAGGCCTCGTGGGGTGAAAGTCAGATCCACTTGCTTACTTTTGCCTCCGCTCTTGCTAGATGCCCGTGACGTCCTGCGGTCGGAGATGCAGTCACGGCACGTTCATGGGGTTGCGGGGGTTGTGACGGAGGCGATGCTGCGCGTGGAGGGTGTGGCCTTCCTCG